TATCCATAAGGTCTTTACTAGACCTGACATGTCAGAACTGTATGAAAATAAAAGTTGTTTAGAAACTATCAATTTTTAATTTTTCCTTTCTCTCAACACAATTCATGATGACACTGCATTGAGAGTAGCGGAATCTTGTAGCACCTAAAACGGAGGTCAAAGTATTGGGTAAAGCTTGAGCTCTAACAAAACTGACAAGTGCTTTACATAGTACTGTATAGGGGCGCCTGGGTGGCTCAGTTGGTTGAGCATCCAACTTTGGCTCAGGTCATGATCTCGTGGTTTGTGAGTTTGAGCCCCGCATCGGGCTCTGCACTAACAGCATGGAGCCTGCTTTGGATTCTCTCTCTTACTCTCTGCCCCTCCCTTGCTCACGCTCACCCTCTCAAAAATAAACAAACAGTAAAAACATTTAAACAGTAATGTATACTAGTGTTTTTCAAACTTGTCTCCACATTAGAATCACCTGGGGAGCTATCAACGGCCTTGATGCCCAGGCTATACCCCAAGCACAAAGTTAGGGGTGACACAGAGGCATAGTGATTTTTAAAACTTGAGAGGTAATACTAATGGGAAGACAAGTTTGAGAACAACTGCTATACATTACTGTTCAAACATTTAATACTACTAGACCTTTTCAATTACTTGTATCCTAAGTACTTTAATAAATATTAAGTATCTTAGCAAAGGTATGTAATTAATATTAGTAAAGGCATAGAGAGGGGAAGGATTCATCTCTTAGGCAAAAAACATTTCAAATTTCTCCATACGACTGAACAATGGTTATGGCAAACCCAACATTTTAAAGATGAAGAATCACAGAGCTGTGTCTCTAATAGAATACAGGTAACCCTTGATTACTCATTGCACACTTCAAAATCTGTACTGGGCGGTTCTAACATGGTGTATGTTCCAAAGGAATAAAAATTAATTTTGATATTAGCCCACACTGAATAAAAGAAATAACTAAAATCTGATATTACAGAATCACTTGATGTCCAAAGTCAAATATGCCTAGTACCATATGACAGCAAAGATACATGAAAGTCATCTACATTTTACTTGGTTACTAAGAAATTGCCTTTGTGATTTTTGGGAAGGGTGAGGAGAAGCATTTTTTGTGATTTTTTTTTTTTCTTTCGGTGAGAATTTGTTAAGAACTGGATCAATAGAATAGGGCAAGATGCCTGAATCTGATTTTAAGGTTATCTCTGAAATTTATATGGACTATATCCACCTCTCTTGATCTCATGTTCATCCAGCTGGTCCCCTTGCTTTCACTTCTGGCTCCTGCATTAGTAGTATACAGGATGGATTGTTGGTCAGAGACCCAAAATAGTGGTGAATTAAACGAGACAGCTTACTTTTCTCTCACGTAGCAGCCCAAACAGGTAAGAAGTACACAGTTGGTATGGCCTTGCCACAATATCAGGGGCCTAGTATCCTACTAGCTGGTTGGGTTGACATCCCTAGAATGTTGCTCTTCCTCTGCAAGATCCAAGATGTCTCACAGCCATGCTCACATTCCAGCCAGCAGGAAGGACGGCGGCAGGGGGGGTTGAAAGGGAAAGAGAGCATTCCTTCACAATCTTTGAGAAAATGGTTCAGTAATTGTACAGATCACTGATGCTCACTCCTGAACTTAGTGAGGACTTAGTCACAAGGCCATATCTAGTGACAAAGGAAGCAGGGGGAATATTCTTTATTGTAGATAGTCATGCACCCAGCTGAAGATGGACAGATCTATTACCACAGAATTGTAGTTATTAGGGTCCAACTAGTAGTCTCTGGCAACCTCTTTATATCCATTCTCCTTCCAGGAGACAGTGACCATTCCAAAACATAAATTGTTTTGTATACTGGCCATAAACCATTTAACGGCTTCCCAGTACTCTGAAGATACAAACTAAGATCCTTATTACTGCCTATAAGGCTCTACATAGCCTGCAAGAGCCCTTGTCTGTTTGCTGGTCTCATTTTGTAAGACACTTTCTGCACTCGAGCCATATGAGTTCTGACTCAAGTCCTCAAACACACATCCACTTCCTCAGGAAAAATTTTCCCAGTGCCCCCCCACCCCCACCCCAATCTCGCTTCCTTTGTTAAAAACATCGAATATAAACCACATCTTTCCTTTGCAGCACTTATCTCACTTATTTGTGCTATTATTTGAATGTCTTTCTCCTCCACAACATTGTAAGCTGTATGAGAAGAGGGGCCATGTGTTTTTGCTTGTATTGTGCTGTGTTCCTAGTGCTAACCCAGTGCCCACAGAGTGGGCACTCAAATACTTGGATGTATACTGCAATAGTTTGGCTTATTTTATGAACTCTAGGATTTGGAGTTTATCTCACAGTGATCTGGTACACTACATGAAATTTTACTATTATTCAGACATTTTATTTTATACACAAATGAGAGTTTAAAGAAATAAAACTTGGATTTATAAGCCTACCTATAGTTTAATTGCTTTGACAATTTTATATTAAATCATTTAGTCTTTTCCTGTTTTAGTTCGTCCACATACAAAATAGATATTAAAACCTTGTTAGGGGCAACATCTACATCCTAAGCTACTAGGAGTTAGATGCAATAATCTCAGAATCACATCAGGGATATTCAAATTCTTTAAAAAGTGCTGCTTTTCAATGAAGAAAAAGATAACATAGGGGCGCCTGGGTGGCTCAGTTGGTTAAGCATCTGACTTCGGCTCAGGTCATGATCCCACGGTTCATGCGTTCAAGCCCTGTGTCGGGCTCTGTGCTGACAGTTCAGAGCCTGGAGCCTGCTTTGGATCCCATGTCTCCCTCTCTCTCTGCCCCTCCCCCACCAATTCTCTCTCTCTCTCTCTCTCTCTCTCTCTCAAAAATGAATGAACATTAAAAAATTAAAAAAACAGCTAAAATATTATATATTTCTTTTTTGAAAAAAAAATCACTGAAAGGTGAAAGTTAGGAAGAACACTAGCAGTAAAAAATACACCTGGGATTAAAATATTTCCACTGTTTTTTGTTACAATGAGCTGCTATAACTGACAAATGGTCTAATCATATTAAAATGTTCACAGAAAATTACATCTTCATGAAAGACATAACAATATCACAAACACATTTTCAGTGTTCTAATAACTATATTAATAGACCTAAAGAATTATAGAATTGGATGGGACCATTATTATGCAAATTTTATGGATAAGGAAATGAAGGCCAAGCAGTTTAAGTGGCTTTCCTTAAAACTTCACAGGCATTTAGTGACAGACTCGTGGCTAGCTTTAAATCTGTTTTTTCAAAATCTACTTTTTATTTCTTATCATAAAGGTAAACAAAAACCAAGTGGTATCAACATAACAATGTAAGAATGAAGATAATATAATGAGTGGTATGACCTGGACCAAGAGATAAGTTTATATGCAGTGTTCTTATTTTGGACAATAGTCACAAATATAATATGACTTGATTAGAAGATAATCTCAAAGAACTGAAATCTTCAGATAATACCCAAATCTTGTTTTGCTGATCACTTTTTAACCTTTTTTCCTAAAATTTCTTTACTAAAAGCAGTTGATTACTAAAATAATCAGGACCAAATAATACATATTTCACCTCCCATCAATTTACCTGCTAATTCTTGGGTAGCAAAGCTTAAAAAAGAAAAATAAAGGAAATGTAAAGGAAACCAGTGAAACAGCAACCTGTATGAACCATACAAATGATTTTAAAGTTTGTTTATTTAAAGAGAGAGAGGGAGAGAGAGGATTCCAAGAAGGCTCTGCACCATCAGCACAGAGCCCATTGCCAGGCTTGACCCCACCACTGTGAAATCACGACCTGAGACTAAATCAAGAGCCAGACGCTTAACCAAGCTACTTAGGTACCCCGAAATGACTTTAGAATAACAGAATTCGTTATAATCGACAGTCCATATTGGCAGAGGGCATCTAGCTAAAAACATCAAATGTTAAGGGTGACACTAATTTGTTAAAAATCCCTTTATTGACATGAATAAAATGAATGCAGGCTAATTCTATGAAGAAAAAAATGGCAGAGAGAAAATGCTCATTTTTTTTTTGTTATTTTTGAGAGAGAGAGAGAGAGAGAGAGAGAGAGAGGGAGGGAGAGAGGGAGAGAGAGAGAATGAGAATCTGAAAACAGGCTCCAGGCTCAGCTGTCAGCACAGAGCCTGATGTGGGGCTCGAACCCACAAATGGCGAGATCATGACCTGAGCCGAAGTTGGATGCTTAACCAACTGAGCCACCCAGGTGCCCCAAGTTTTTCTGATGGTAGCTTGGTATTTTTCTTGGGAAACTGCTACCATAGCTATCCAATTTTACAGCCAGAAATGCGGACACAAATGTTTTACTGCACGTACAGATAGAAACAGTGCTAGAATATAAAATAAATTGCCAGGGAGGTTGTTTTTAACGATCCTAAATTTTCAAAAATAGTCATATTTCTCATTCAATATGAGAATGGAAATTATACCTGTTAAAGTGTATAGCTTTGAAATCTCAGCCTGAGGTTTTTGGTCAATAGCTGTTTAAGTATTAATTTTTCCCTTCCCCAACGCTTACGTGTCAGTAAAACTGAATTGCCTTTTAAAGTTTATAATAGTTTTGGGCCCCTAGGTGTCTCAGTCGAGTGTCTGATTTAAGCTCAGGTCATGATCCCAAGGTCTGTGAGTTCAAGCTCCGCATCGGGCTTGCTGATATCAGTGCAGAGCCCGCTTTGGATCCTATCCCCTTTCTGCCCCTCCCCAGTTCATGCTCTCTCTCTCTCAAAAATAAATACTTAAAAAAAAGTTTATAGTAGTTTAATACAAAAACCGAGATTCTATCTGATAAGTCTTCAAACCATATGGAAGCAGCATATTGGCTCATTTATCAAGTACATTTAGGTCTATTATAGGTCAAAAATACAGAAGAGAGACATCAAATACATTCAAAATGAGACAAGAGACCAAAAAAGTTATTTTGTTTTCACTTTAATAATACACTCAAAATTTTAACACAAGAAGGATTCACTATTTTAATTAACATTTAAACACAATTATAAAGAACAAAAGGCTGAACACGTTTATGAACAAAGTACAGCATCTGTCTTTAGATTTGTGAGCTGCACAAAAACATTTCAAGTATAAAGCATATTAAGTCACTGAATCACAGGGCTAGAAGAAAACCCCACAAGTTAACTGCTGAACTACAATCAGATTGATCTTGACACTGAATATTTTTTTCTCGTGTGATGGTCATTTTGGCTCATCTAACTAATAACCACGTAGATGTCAACCACAGGGCTTTGCAAATGCGGAATGGCGATTTATAGTTAAAATGAAGTAAAATAGATAACCAGAATAAAATCAGTTCTCTTAGTCACTGTTTTACATTTTCAATATGCACACTTAAAACATTAATAGGAGATAAAATTTCACTATTTAAACTCACATTACATGTACGAAAACTACAAATCAATACACCAAGAAAAGAGGCATACTGTAGCCTCTGGCTTTAAGTTCACACACTGGTCAAAATACTTAGAAATGCAAAGGATATGAGGTCACAATAAAGAGTTGAAAGCCTGAAGACAATTTAATACACTCATTGTACAGCTGACCAAACTGAAGACCAAGGCAAATGAACCCTAACAATCCATGTGTGCTTTTGAAAATGACAGTAACTACCACAGTTGTGAGAAATGCAGGTTGACTACTTTAGGAGAATTTAATCTTCAAATAAGCAATGTAAAATTTCCCAGTATAGGCGAATAAAAGTGAAAGCATGTTAAGTGTTCAAGAGAAGTTACTCTTCTAAGTCAGGATGCCTTATGCTGAGGCTTTCAAATAAAGGAACACCACAAATAGAACAGTGAACACAAATTAGTACAAGATAATAGTTATATAGAAGGTAAATTTTCCTGATACACAAAATCTGTTTCAATGAACTTTTCAGTAATGAATTTTAAATGAAGTGCATTAGCTCCAAAGAAATTGAACATGAGACCACTTAATAACTTGAAAGCTTATGCAATATTCTTACTGAAAAACAGCTGCTGAAATTACCAACAAAATGACAGAGTATCTTTAAAGCAGTGCCTTCCTTATAACCTGTAACCATTTCATCTGCCAACTTTTAAGAAGTATTAGTTGGGCTATAAATTTTGTGCAAGTAGACTTCTACCTTGTTGTTACCCAAGTTACAGATATCCAAGATACAGATGATGCGCACTTTATCCAGTTTAGTCACAGCTTTGATAATATCACCTGAAAGTAAAAAGCAGATGGTATTGTAAACTACTTAAATATTTACTTGGATTTAGTATCACATAAGCTGACTTTTTTTTTTTATAACATTAACACTGTCCCTCATCTTCTCCCTCCTCCCTCCAATTTATCACAGTTATCAAAGTTATGTTATGCTAACTTCTGCACACAACAGTGAACATACCAAACAGATGCCACTAATAATGTCAAGATATGGGCTGGTATTCCAAAGTCATATTTATTTATTTTTAACTTTTTTGGGTAAAGTCAGTCTACATATATTTTCAAGTTATTTATACGGTGCCAAGTCAACAACTTATTGTTACACTTCAAGGAAGTACAAAAATAATATTTTGTATTTTGAAACTTATCAGTTACAAAATTTATAAGACATAAATTAAAATCCATATATGTAATTTAAGTTTCTTTTAAAGTATATTTCCTTTGGGGGCACCTGGGTGGCTCAGTCGGTTGAGTGTCTGACTCTTGATTCTGGCTCAGGTCATGATCTCACAGTTCATGGGTTCAAGCCCCGTGGCTGGCTCTGTGCTGGCAATGCAGTGACTGCTTGGGATTCTCTCTATCCCCTCTCTCTCTGTCCCTACCCTGCTTTTTCTCTCTCTTGAAAAAAACTTAAAAAACTAAAAGAGATCTGGTTTGAAATTTAGCTTATTACAAAATAATAAAGTATATTTCCTTTGAGGCAGCTTTATTGACTAACACTTAGCATTGGATACTCTCAAGAAGCTTTATCAAAAAATGAATCAGGTGAGTGACACTGCTAGAAATGGCAGAATAGGCAATTTAAGGGCTGGGTCCCTCCACTAAAGCAACTTACAGGCTGGCAAAAACTCTCAGATCAACTTCTGCAGAACTCTGGAATCTATACACAAACTTAAAATGATGGGTAAAGGATTAATAAAGAAAGAGCTGTTTCACTGTGGTCAGAATGTGCTGCGATATTTTAAGTTGCCCACAACCAGTACCCGTATCAGCAGCAGCCATGAAGACGGCAGCTTGCACGCCTGGTGCCAGTTGCTAGTACCAGACAGTGTGATGCAGAACTTATTCTCAAAGATGTGGCTGTATGGGGCGCCTGGGTGGCACAGTCGGTTGAGCGTCTGACTTCAGCTCAGGTCATGATCTCACTGTTTGTGGGTTCGAGCCCAGCGTTGGGCTCTGTGCTGACAGCTAGCTCAGAGCCTGAAGCCGGTTTCAGATTCTGTATCTCCCTCTCTCTCTGACCCTTCCCTGCTCACGCTGTCTCTCTCTCAGAAATAAATAAAACATTAAAAAAATTTTTGAAAGATGTGGTTGTGTGTTTTGCCCTGTAAGGCAGCTCGCTCCAGGACAGATGCAAGGGCTTGCTTTCATTTCACTTGATTTGGAGCATTTCCATAACTGGGGTGGCTTCCCCTGTGGCTTTTGTTGATAACACATTAAGAAAAAAATATTAGACAGGGCAGTTGGAGCAGAGTATAAAGCTGGGACAAGCAATAGTCAGACGAAAAAATCCAGGGACAAAGGGGTTCAGAAGAGATATGTGTGTGGGGGGAATGAGGGCTTTTCAAAAGCTCCTGTATACACTGGGGCATCAAGAAGGATACATGTACACCCAGTGCTGGATCCATGCTCAGAAAAGGCCCGAGAAAAACTCCATTTGTTTACCTCTGGCTGACCAGCAGGCTCTGCACAGCAGGAAGTGAAAGCTAAGACAGAGTTGTAAACAACCTGGGTAAGCACTGAAGGGGTGCCGCGACACAGATCCAACTGCAAAAGCTGAAGATAATTTTTCCTTGGTTTTCTTTTCTCACCTCCTGGTGTTTAAGGAAACTCTTTCAAAACACTAACTGACAGTTACCAAGCTAATGGATCACAGACTTCAGTGGCTACATGTGATAAAGACTTGATTTTAGATATGAAAAAATGGTATCACTTAGAGGTTAAATAACTTAAGCAAAGTCACATGGTGATTTTAATGTACACAGTCTGACATCAAGGCATGTGATTTTAACCTCTGTATGCTAGGGCTACATCTCTGTGAAGTTGTGCCTAGGGGCGCCTGGGTGGTTCAGTTGATTAAGCATCTGACTCTTGGTTTCGGCTCAGGTCATGATCTCACAAGTCCCTGAGATCCAGCCCTGCACTGGGCTCTGTGCTGACAGTGTGGAGCCTGCTTGGGATTCTCTTTCCCTCTCTCTCTGCCCCTCCCTGCTCATGTGCACACGCTCGCTCTCTCTCTCTCTCTCTCTCTCTCAAAATAAATAAATAAACATTTAAAAACCCTGTACCTAAAAGCCAGTGGTGGATCTAGGTTTTGTGGGACCTGAAGGGCATACTATTTATGAAAATGAGTATGAAATACAAAAAAGTACCAAAGCAACTGAGGGATTCAGAAGCCTAGGCTCCATAAGCTTCATAATTAATTTTTTTTTCAATGTTTATTTTTGAGGGGGGGGGAGAGAGAGAGAGAGGGAGAGAGAGAGGGAGAGAGAGAGGAAGAAAACGTGAGCAGGGGAGGGGCAGAGAGAGGGAGACACAGAATCTGAAGCAGGCTCCAAGCTGTCAGCACAGACCCCAAGGCAGGGCTCAAACTCATGAACAGCAAGACCATGACTGGGGCAGAAGTTGGATGCTTAACTGACTGAGCCACCCAGGCGCCCTATGAGCTTCATGATTAATTCACCTTTTCTAGACATGTCATGAAATCTGATGAATGATTTAAAACTATGCAAGTTTACTAATGCACAATGAATATAATAACAACTGCTGCTACTGTATAACTTTCTTCTTTGAAGGGGATGAACTTTAACCTAGATGTTTGGAAAGATTCTGAGAGGTCTAGATTTGATGCCAACAGCAACAACCCAAACCTTAATAATTCTAATTGTTATCATATATTGACCTTTACAAATAATGACTTACAGGGTACCTGCAACATAAGTCTAAGTAAATCTACCGTTTAGGTGCGTGGCTCTGCCTACTTGTACTAACACTTTGAGCAAATTACAACCTTTCAATCTGTTCCTCTGGTACTACAACACAGAGGTTGTGAGGATTAAATACTCAGGCTGTAAAGCACTTCAGATGGTGGGTGATACACAGCAAGCACTCAAATAACAGCAACAGTCATCTTTTACTTAAGAAAACCTAGTATGAAATTAGGATGTTATTATTTACATCACATAGAGATTCTTTTAAAAGGACTACAGATTTTTACCTATAAAATGAGCTTCTCTAAATTTCACTTTAAATTGTTAGTACTGTTTACAAAAATTGTACATTTTTAGAAACATCACAAAAGCAAAAAAGTGTGATAAAGGCAGTGGAGTGTTCTCCACTCCATTTTCTTGTGGGTGATCGATCACATGGGAAGACAAAGTATCCTGGCATCTCTTATAGCTAGGTTGGGATCATATAGGTAAGTTCTGGGAAATGAGAATGTGAGTAGAAATGATGTGTCACTTCCACTCCAATGTAATTAAAAGCCAGCGTCTCCTTCATCTCTTCCTTCCTCTGCCTAGACAACCCTAGAAGCCACTTGTTCCTGCTGAAGCTGCAACAAGGTGGAAGCAGACTGGATTTATGAATCACCACTGAGAAGAAAGCTAATGTCTGTTTGCATCAGATTTGACTTGAGCAAGAAACAAACATTTATTGTGCTAAGTCATTGAGACTTTGAAGTGGCTTTGTACTGCAACAACATCTAACCTGTCTTATAATACAGTACAGTATTCCTGCCTGTAAAAATAATATGGGAAACCTGATTACATAAGGAATAATAAAACTCTTCCATATCATGCTTCTGAAATGTTTAATCAATGGAGAAGTTAACGCTTTCAAAGAGGAAGAAGGTGTGTGTGTGTGTGTGTGTGTGTGTGTGTAGTTCATAGTTAAAGATGGTACCAATTAGGACATCATATCAGTAGACATGATTTGGGAAACAGAGCTAACCACTTGGAAAAAAATAAAGCTGGGTCTATTTTTCACTTTTCATACCAAAATAAATTCCAAATGGATTAAAATTTTATTTTATTTATTTTTTATGGTTTATTTATTTTTGAGACAGAGAGAGACAGAGCATGAGTGGGGGAGGAGCACAGAGAGAGGGAATCACAGAATCTGAAGCAGGCTCCAGGCTCTGAGCTGTCAGCACAGAGCCTGACGCGGGGCTCGAACCCACGAACCGTGAGATCATGACCTGAGCTGAAGTTGGACGCTTAACCAACTGAGCCACTCAGGCGCCCCCAAATGGATCAAAATTTTAAACTATAAAAATGAAGACATATTAACAACAAAACTCCAAACAACCCAATTCAAAACGGGGAAAGGACTTGAATATATACTTCTCCAAAGATGATATACAAATGGCCACTGAGCATATTAAAATATGCCCCAAATCACTCATAATTAGGGAAATGCAATTCATAAACAAATGAGATACCACTTTAGGATGGCTGTTAAAAACAAACAAACAAACAAACAAACAGGGGCGCCTGGGTGGCTCAGTCCGTTAAGTGTCTGACTTCAGCTCATGATCTCATAGTGTGTGGGTTTGAGCCCTGAATCAGGCACTCTGCTGTCCAGTGCAGAGCCCACTTTGGATCCTCTCTCTTTTTCTTCCCTTCCCATGCATGTATTTCTCTCTCTCTCAAAAATAAACATAAAAAATTTTAAAAAACAGAGAATAACAAATATTGGTGAGTATGTGGAGAAATTGGGATCCATATGCATTGCTGATGGGACTGTAAAATCGCACAGCTGCTGCGGAAAATAGTTTGGTGGTTCCTCAAAAAGTTAAATACAGAATTACCATGTGACTCAGCAATTCCACCCTAAGTATATTCCCAAAAGAACTGAAAGCAGGGATTCAGAGACTTGTACACCAATATCCGTAGCAGAATTATTCACAGTAATTATTCAAAATAGTTGAGAGGCAGAAACAACCCAAATGTCCATTAATAGATGAATAGATAAACAAAATGTGGTATATACATACA